CAAGAACTATTTCAGCGGTTTTGTTTGCTGTTGATCGATCTTTTTCGTTTGACATCGACGCACGGTGCGTTGAGGGGTCCATTATTTGGCGCGTCGGCTCCAATGATCTGCTTCACTGATAATGAACAATGGACTGAAGCTCTCGTTCGATTACTGCTTTTCTTCGACCCGAACCGTATGACAACATTGACAGGCCACACATTTTATATACTGGCAAAATCATGCTAAAATTAACTATAATATACATGAAAAGTTTTGCAAATAATTTATAAATGTTATCACTTTACAATATTCAAGATTTAAATACATTCAAAAAATTCAATTTTTTATGTTTTAGTTTATAATTTCATTGAAATATGTTTTAAATATTATCTTAAAATTAAAAACTAGGATATTTATATAATTTATATACTTTTATGCAACAGGCTTGTAATTAATTCATTATTAGTTATAACTATCTTTGGCGTGATTGTTGTTGTTAATACATAGAAAACTATGGGAATCCAGCACATAATATAATCAATTTACATGAAATTGTCACAAATCTGAATCACTGTAAGCAAATGACAAAAGAAAATTCAGAAATTGAACAAATTATCTCCGTTCACTGAATTTTCTGGAAGGGGCACCTTAATGTTAATTAAATTTCTTTCAGGCTAAAATTGACCAATTCAATCAATTGAGATTTAATCAATTTTTTCAACCATATTCGTTCCCCCTACTTTTCAACTGAAAGAAAAGTTTTAAAACTGGGACCAGCGCAGAAACTCAATGGCGTGTGGAGTGTATATTTAAAAGAAGTCAAATCAACTCGGCAGGTGAGGCGTATGGCTGCGCGGTCCCGGCTTTGTTTGGCGCGATCGCCAGAGGCTGCAGCTCGCTTTCGTTAAAAAATTTATAACGAGCTCTCAAACTTTTTGTTTACGCACAATTAGAAGGCTGAAAGGGTTAATTCTGGCTTACCCTAAAAGCCGCCAGGCCTCGTTTGACGGCGAAATTTCAATTTTCAAACGCGCTGAATAATGCACTGGGGTGATATTTGGTGGATTAGCAAAGAGGACCGCCACCGCCGCGATGCGAAATAGTAGTGGTTTATTCAGAGCCCTAGATTAGGAGACGAAATATACCTCTGAAAAACAAAGAGAGGGGTGACGCCGCTGCCCTATCTCGCAGAAAGCAGACGGTCATATTTCACAAAGAAAAAAGGCCGCCTTTGTTTCTAATTCTATATGTACTATAGAACGAGCCAGTTAAAAGTTTAAATAACAACAGAGAGCTTGACCATTTTTTCCTAGAGAAATCAGACTTTTTTAAAGAATTCTGAAATAGAGCAAGAAAAGCAATTCAAGTTTTGAAAAGGAATTAATGTGCCTTTATTGAAAGTTTTATTAAGAAATCTCGTTTTGTTATTACCTCTCTCGTTAACATATTTACATCAAAATTATTCCTTTTTAGCTCTCATTCTAATTACATGATACTGTGAGCGTTTCAGTCTTATTCTGATTGTATATTCAGTTTTTAATTTTAGAGCAGTTTTTTTAAAGTGAATCAGTTGAATCGCCAAGATGCTTAAAAAAAACTTATACCATAAAATTGATTTAAATTGCTAAAAATTTAATAAATAAATTCATATTTTCTGTCAGTTTTTTTAGTGATAAAAATTTCCAATTTGAATAGCACAAAATCAATCTAGATCATATTTTGTAGCTCGGTTTATTTTACAAATTTTGAAATTTGAACTATAAAAAAACTCTATTTGGTTTAATAAACATTTATTTTATATATTTTGCAATTAAAATCCATAATCGAGCGCGTTTCATTTTGTCTCTCACACTTTAATGAATCTAGTAGAGGAAGTAAATTTTTAGATATTTATCGACGTCAAGATTCACCTGCCTCATGTTGAGGTTATGCAACACGCTCGACAAACATGTAATGCGAGATGCATAACGCAACAGCTAGCATGCGGGTAATCAACACCAGTCGATCATTGCTGAATAAAATAGTTAATAAATCAGCCTTTCCCGAACCGGAACTAATCTGATTAATTCAATTAAATTACGATTAAATTTGTACTTTAATTTGAGATGAAAATTAGAACAATAGAAGAGCTGATAGCGAGTTTTTACTACTTTTTGTTCAAAAACTCCAACAATGGCGAAACTCAATTTGGTCTCAACGGTGCGTCAAATATGTCAATTTGAGCCAAAAACAGATCACACAGGTCGCGACCGATCGCATTAAAGTTTCAGCCTGCCGCACTGGGGGATGTCCATCCAAAATGCTGCAAATCCCACCGATGGAATTCCAAAATGAAAGCAAGCTCTCATAATTGCATTGCGGCCCCATTAAATCCTTAATTATCCGGCAGGGTGCGAATCCCCGCCGGCTCAACTGCCGGATCATACGCGCGAGTGTCTTCACACGAAATGCGCTCCACGGGGACACTCACTTGGACAGCAGCCGAATTAATTGGTCCGACGTCAATCAGACCGCCAAAATTCAATTCTGCGTGCGGTGGATGCTTCTGTCAGTCCGGCTGACGAGATTCTGCGGTGTATGATTATTATTATCGATATTATTGGCAAAGCTCAATCTAACCACCCACATTGGGGCCTCTCGACTCCTTCGTCTTTCACAAGAAAAATTACTTTGGCCAACTTATTATACATCAAGAGTAATCAGATTTTAAGTTGAATAAGAGGTGCTCGGATTAAGGTCACGGGCCTATCAAAGCTCTCGTCTTGCTTGATTAGTGCGCCGACTTCTTGCAAAGTCTGAATCAAATTCCGTTAATAGCGTTGCTCGGGTTGTGCAAACTCATGCACTTTGCATATTAGCGTGACGAGAGTTCTTCGAAAGCTCTCGGTCATTTTTTGTACATCTCTTAGGAGAACTTTTGCCTCTTGATGCAGCAGGGCACTATTCATTTTACAACGTGGTGCTATAAATGATTAATATCTCTTAGACTGAATTTAAACATGAAATGTAAACATCAGATCAGTTTTATGATCATTTGATTCATCTTGAATAAGAACGAGACTTTATGATATTATTGAAGTCCCCACTGATATTTATTGCGCAGTAATGATTATATAATATTCAAAGTTTATTCAGTTATTTTGTGGAAAATCAGCAGTTAAAAAGCTAGTTTTATTAATTTAATATATTTTAAAATCAATAATTTTTTATGAATTCGTTAATAATATATATCAAAGTTACCGGTTTCAAACATGAATTCATAAAAAAATTATTAGTTATGATGTGATGCTCTCTAATTATTGCCCAAACTGTTGTACTTGCGCCATGTTAATTAAATTGCAATAAATCTTTTTGCAGAGAGTCACATTTTTATTTCACTTTTGATTCAGTTTCTCCCTTTCTTAATTTAAAAAAAAAGTTATCAAAAATGTGTCAGTCCTTATTATTTTGTTCTTTTCCGCCATTTATATTCAATTGCTGGAGGCCGAAGTTTTTTTTATCGTCTGGTTGAAAATCAAAACCACTTCCTTTGCTCCTTTATTTTCCATCGCTCTCCCTCCAATTATTTTCATTCGAGCGGTTTAGTTCGTTTTATGCCGTGCGCCGAATTCACTTCGGCTTTTGCGCAATAAAAACAGCAATTAAGACAAATTCGTCAAAGTGCGTGCCCGCGCCGCACTTTGGGGTGCACAACTGCACAACGTACGAAGGCGGCCGCCGCACCCCACACTCTTTGTCTCGCGAAAACACACGGCCTTTGTGCGCAAACACACTCACTTGGTCGTTCGGTCCTTTGTCTGCAGCCGAGCGCGAAATGTAGAAACACACAACTCCATCGCAAGATTGATACTCGTCGCGCGAGCAAATATATTCTCGGATACTTATTGCTCTGGGTATTCAACTCGACCAAGTTTTGCTCACATACAAAATCTACCAACTCTATATCTTGACATACATATAATCACACACTCAACCCAAACTTGTGAGAGAGCGCCATAAATAAATTACAGCTCAGCTTACGTTGTAAATTTTTGTTTGGCGTAATGTTATAGTTTTATAATTTACAAAGTTTTTGTTAAAGCAATAAGTTTTTATAAATAATTAAACACCCTTGATCTTCATAATGAAACCAAATAGCATAGCTAACAATGAAATCGTGATCGGAAAAAATACGCTTGTAATTGTATCTGAAACGTATCTGAATGGAGAATAAATGAATAAATAAATAAACAAACAAATAAATAAATAAATAGATAAAAAGATAAAAAGATAAATAAAAAAAATAATTAAATAAATAGATAAAAAGATAAATAAAAAAATAAATAAATAAAATATTACAATTTAAACAATAATTTGTAGCTTTAAATGTTATTTGAAAGTTCTTGTTTGCTGATGAATTAAATTAATTAAGATTTCTGTGCCCCAATAAATCATAGGTGAGCAGTGGGTGTGTGTTCCGTCCTCGGAACACCTGAAACTAACTGCGTGCGAGTCGCGACTAAATATTTAACAATTCATTACGCGACCCGGCGGAAGCGAATCGCAGTGAATTAATTTCCATATTAACCCCGGCGCTAATTCCCAAGAAGTCGTGAGTTTATAGTCGGCGCAGCTGCCTGCACACGTCCCGTACGTGTATATTTATACCTGGCGGGCCAAAGGAGTTCTACTCGGCCGATGTAATTAGTTATGTATCACCTCATATATATGCAGCAAATCTTGCTCTCGCTCGCTCGCTTTATATCGAGCCCTTGGGCGGAAAGCCGGACGACTTTTGGCTGGGCGGGGGTGCAAATTGCAATTAAACCCGCCTCCCTCGCGAATAGCCCTCGCGAAACAAGTTTTGCTGAATTATCCAACTTCGTAGATAGCGAGAGCGTGTGAGCATTTCGAGCAAGGGTAATTGCGAGTCAGCAGGTTTCAGAGCAGCCTCTGTCAATAATAACATTCATCGTCTTCCCTGAGCATAAATTTTCTGCTCCCAAAAGACCCTTTGGGGCGAGGGAAAATACCCCAGCTGTCTCTTTCAATCAAGTGGAAAAGTACTTTTATTTCATCTTTTCATTCACAAAAATAGAAAGAAATGTTGAGATGACTTGCTTGGGCGTAAACTTTAACATACAGCGATCGTCACAGATTTTCTCACACAATTATTCCATCGTTTCCCCTGCTTCCGCTTTTTTCTGCAACATAGAGAGAGAGGAATTATTCCACATTGTAAATTTTAACGCCTCACTGTGCAGAGGACCATAATATTTTTGTCTTGAAGAGAAATCGTCCGAAGCGTGATTTGAATATTTGTATATCATTATAAAATAATCAAATTGTACAAACGAAAATAATTTTTTTGTTATTAGTATTAATATTTTTGACACGAGCTAAAAAATTCTATTAAAAAAAAATGAAGCCTGGGTTAACCTCAATTGAATATTTAAAAGAAAATGAAATAAAATTAACTATAAATAAATAATTATACTTTAATTTTTTTTAGCCATTTACTTGAAACTTCTCTTACTGCAAAATAATAAGGAAATCAAATTACCGAAATAATAAAATTATTATTATAGTGTTTTATGGATTTATATTTCCCATTATTTTCTTCTAAAGGGAAAAGTTCTGAATGTTTTCTTTCTGATATAAAAGTGTGGCGGGCCCTCGTTGCCAGATAATAAATATCTCACTCTCGAAAAGTGGGATTATTGAGATGGAATCTTTTTATGTCAACGGAAATAAATTTCCTCTCGTTCGGCAGGAAAAAATATTGTATTTTCTTTGTAAATTATGGTTCTCCGTTTCCGGAGGGGCGCGTGAGAGAAGAACAAAGAAAGAAAAGAAAGAGAAAAAGAATATAGAAGGGAGGGACATGTCAACGTACGTGCAACAGTTTAATCTCGGCGTTTCCGTCCTCAGGGAGCTGCTTCTTGGGGAAGAGGCCTTGCACGAGGGGACTGAAGAGGTCTGGATTCATCTTGCTGATGTCGTTTGGCCCCGTGGCCAAAGTCACAAAAAACGCCACCACCAACAGCGTTGTAAATCCGATGACGGTCAGGTACAAGTACGAGATGCGGAAAACCCAAAACGCGTCCTCGACGGGCCTAATTTGTGCATAATTTAATAGCTATAATAAGAAAAAAGTAGACAAACGTGGAAAATTTGGGTCGCCACATTTTGCCCTAAAATGGAATGTCTGTGTGCTTCAAAACCGCAATACGCGTGATTTATTAGTACTTATTACTTATGTTAGGGTTGAAAAATCTTCCTGATTGAAAAATTCATTAAGGAAACAATATAATAATGGTCTTTTATTCATTAAATGTTAAGAATTAAGAAGAATGCTTTTTTACTTTTTGGAACGCATGTGTCCCTTTAGAATTTATGCTGCCAGCATAAAATAAAAGTTTTCATAATTTCAGAAACCAGATTTATAAGTTATGATGCATGAAGTTTGGAAATCAAAGATTTTTTAACTTTGAATCTCTACAAACCGATTTTTACGTACATATTTGCTCGGGAATAAAGTATGATGAGGATGAGTCATGTAGAGATTTTTCATGTTTAAAATGATAATTCACTATAATTCAAATCTCTACATCAGGATCTAAAAAGAAATCCAGACGATTTCTTGAAAATTTCGGAAAACTGAAATTGCATTTTTTGGGAAAAAAATGAATTGATATCCTCCCAATTTGACAAATTCCATTTTAGGGCATAATTTGGACCCTGAAAAGTTACGTGAAGTTCAATGTCTCGTTGGTGGAGGGAAAGTCGTAAAGGCATCCATCAACGGAGAGTGGCTTGTTCTCGAACCTAAGCGTGCCACTTCGAAGGGCAGTCTGCGAGCCGAGGGCCACCCAGCCAGCGACAAAGATGCTGGAAATGCCGCCCCAGAGGACGCCCTGTTGAATCAATTAGTTGGAATAGTTGGTCGCGGCTAATCAAAGAGTTGGGGCATACTTTTGCATTAAGCCACGGCACGGTCATGCCGAGCACAAATATGCCGAGCGACGCTCCTGCGGTGATTCCGCTCAGAGTTCGACTGACCTGCAAAAGTTATTAGCCATAAAGCAACTCGGCTTTTTATGAACAGCGTCGTTAAGCAAACTTTCTCATTAGGGGCAACTGCCAATAATTTTTATTGCCGCCGCCTGTTGGCCTCGTGTTCTCCACAAAAGGGCCCGATCTCTCCCTTCGTTAAGCACTGCTTGTCAAATTTCGTCGTAACTTTTATGATTCAATTTGTATTTTGACAGTGTGCATTTTTTTGAATAAAGTTTAGATTAATGATTTTGTAGATCCTGTCCCATCTGGTGTAAAAAGTTCTACTTGCAATTTTTATCTAAATATAAACCATGTTTGAATTTTTTTACATCAAATACGATTTTATGGAACTAGTCGAGATAATTTTTTCTTAATTAAAGCTTTCTGATTATTCTAATTTAATTAGAACAATTGTTTTATTTAAAATTATGTGCAGCAGTGGGAATTTTAGTCAAATTAGTTAAATTACATTTGGGAACCTGCCCAGCGTGCCAAGAGCTTCAGTTTTATCAACTTAACCTACCAAAGGTTGCGCGCCATCTAAATAATTGAAGTTGCGGCAAACTTGTCATAATCGTAACCAGCGGCTTGTTATGTTTCAAGTTTGCAGCGTTAAATTTGCATGTTTCGCGCAGCATATACTCGCAAATGGTGCCCGCGGCAGCTTGCTTATGTGTGTGTGCGTGTAAATGGGCTGTGCATAATTACGTATGCTCCACTGGCCAAAATAAACACGTACTTGAATGATGGCTCCCAGCCTGTCGACGATCAGCACCATGACGACGCACAACGAACCGATCAGCACCACGATCACCTTCATGATGGTGCTGGCTGCCATTTCGGACAGGGGTCGTTTGCCCCAGCACGGACGGATGAAGTCCTGCAGAATAACGCCGGACATCGAGTTAAGCATTGTTGACATCGAACTAAAGAAAATTAAAAAGTAGTTTAAAAACTTTAAATAATTAAATTATTTAAAATTTTAAGTCATCAGATATCTATTTAAACATTCTTAATTTTTATTAAATACATTTCATTAACAAAATGTAACTTTATTATTTCTTTTTTTTTTACAATTTAAAAATGTCTTTTTGTTAAAATATAAATTTATATTTTTAATAAGATTAAATGATTCACTTGTTTCATCTTACAATATGTCACCTGAACTTCATTATTTTTCTATGAAAAATATAATAAACATGCCCAACCCATTTCATGAACTTCAGAAATGTTACAAATAATTATGCGTTGGGTTGATCGGTCTGTTGATTATTTCATAATAGAAATTTAAAATTTCTCTAACCTGAGAGCAGCGCTGAAAACTCCGGCGATGAAGATTCCCGGAAATCCAGGCACGCTATTGGAAAGGTCCATCACCGTGAACGGTAAAATTTGATCAACTTTCCTTATGGCCTAAAACAGCACAGGTCAAATATTGCGCGTTATTTAAACATGTGTGTGCCAAAATTTTTGTTTGTTTTCTCCCAACTCACTTTCGTGTAAACTGGATCGCAATCGTGATATTTTGCATAAATTACCAGGCCAGAATACACGCTAAAAACCACAAACGTTGAAATTCCGATGGACAGGGATATCAGAGCGCTGTAAATAAATTGAAAAAAATACACTGTTCAGTTTTTTTTAAATATGTATGTATTTATTTTGTTTTGTGAGAAAGCGAAATGTTGGAAAAATTCACGTCTGAGTATAAATAAATTTAAATTTAACTCCTTCTCAATTTGATTGATTTGATGTAAGAATTAGGGGCAGTATAAAAATGATTAATATGTAAAAGGATTTTTAAACTTGGCATCTTTTTGCAGGATTTAAAGTTTTTATTTTTAATTTCCTTATGCAGATGTATTGTACGAAAAGTCGTAAAGAGAAAATTAAATAAGGATTTGTTTCATAAGTTATGAAAATTGACATCTGAATTCAATGTGCCTTTCTTAAGAGTTACTTAAATGCAATAATTAAATTTTAAAACAAAATTGTAATTAACATGTTTGGGTATTCTTCCCAGAAATTTAATAAGATTTTTCAAAAATTGCTTGCACAAAATTACTTTGCCCGGAACATTTTTCACTTTTAAGAAAATTCTTCTTCGCAAGTCATAAACATACATTTTTCTGACTAAATGTGGAACCTTTCTCGGAGGGGTCTATATTTTTTTTATATGTATCTTTAGGTAACGACACCTCTGGGGAAAGAGAGTTATTGTGTGTGCGAGGCGATCTCCTTCCTTCTTTCTGAATAACAGCAGCTTAAGGCCCTGGTCGACGGGGATCAACTCCAATTTCTGCCTGTCCATCCGACAGACCTAATCTGTCACAGCACCTCAGAGAAAAATGCTGTGACACGCGCGGAAGTCGAGCGAGGGGTCGTGGAAATCGAGTTAGGCGAAAAGGAACACACGCACCTTCTCGCCTTGCCGATGGTGGGCAATGCAAGGCATCGCTGCAGGATGGCTTGGTTGGCGGCGATGTGCGACAGCCACATGAAGAAGTTGCCAATTACCACTGTCCAGAACGTGTGACGCACCAGAGGATTCGGATCCAGACTGTCAAAGCAAAAAGCGTTATCGCAGGTGATAAAGCAGCGTGCCTTTTGTACTTGAAAATCTCGATCCTGTTGCTGGTGGTCGCCCTCTCCAGCACCACCCCGACGCCACCAACGTCCATCGTCCCGAGCACGGTCACGGCGATCACGCCGAGAATCATCGCGAAGGACTGCACCGTGTCCGACCAAACCACAGCTTTCAAACCACCCTTTTAAAGTGCGACTAAAATTAGCTAAACAAATTTTTTAAATAAAACATGAAATTTTAAGATGTTTTTTAATTAATGAAAATGGCTCCTTTGAAGGTGACCGCACTTTATACTTTTATAGCAAAAAACTAATTGCTACAAAAATATAGCAATATAAAACTAATACATTGTAATGCATTATTTAACAAAAAGCGAATGGAAAAAAGTAGAAAGCTCATAGAAAACGTTCATGAAGTAAGAACAGTTTAATTTTATTTACATCATTTTTTTTTATCAAAATTTTTTTAACGACCTTATAAAGTTAATGCATGGGAGAATGCTTTTACTTTTATCACTTTTCATTAAAGCTTGTAAGAGTTCTAAAATGTCATTAACTTTTTGATATTTTCAATCCAGTATAAGTATTTTTGGATCACACCATTCACACCTCTTTTTCCGTTAAATTTCCAAATTATAATAAAATTAAAAATATTGGATCTAAAATTTTACTGAAACAAATGTCATTATTTTGGTGTGCTACAAGCAGCAGTACATGATTTATATTTTTATTGCTTCATTTCTATTTTCATGACAACAATTAATTTATAAAAACAATAAAAATTATTAATTTTTAATTAAATTATTTTATATTTTTTAAAATTTTGTAATTTTTTTTTAAATTAATAAATATTTTAATTTTTAATTATTTAAAAAAATATATTTTTTATTATTTGTATAAGCAATAATATGTAGCATTTTATTATGGTAATGAATGCTAGGTTTGAAAAATAAATAAATATAACTTCTTATCTTTGGTGCATTGATCCTGATCGCACTACTGAAGTTCTATTCACAATATTATTTAAAGCACTTTAATCTGAAATTTAATATGTCCACTCCTCCCAGCAAAAATATATGTGTTAAAACCCATTATAAACGCTGTTTTTTGAAGGTGGAACTTAATTTAAATATGGAGAGAGAAAAAATCCTAATTGGCAAAAGGCAAGAACACATTATTCAACAAGTAAGTTCCTAATCCTTCTGCAATGAACTGAATAGACCATTTTACTGAACATAGAGCCCCCAAAATTTCCATCGGAGCAACTTGAGCACCAATCTTAAACCGGGCTTATCTCGGCTCTAAAACATAATGGTGTTGTCTCACTCACCAAACTGGTGTAGAAAATGCAAATGGCACACGTCGCCACCGCCACGACGTACAAGTTGATGCCCGACACTGCAAACATGGGGTTAGTAGGGTGTCGACGAGCGACAGAGGAAACTTATTCGCGAACCTTGGCTGAAGGCGAGCGAGGGGATGTAGATGATCAGCGGCGTGTACAGGATCTGCAAGCAGGCGTGCTCTTTTAATGACAAAAGAGTTGCACCAAAAGAAGAAGAAAAAACAGACCCTTGATCACGAACTGGCGCGTGCTCGGCATTTAATTAAATAATAAAGCGTGGTGTGCGAATTAATGTATGCACCCCCCGCGCAATATTAAATTAAAATTAGTGCGTTTGTTTAGTTTCGGTTGTCGCCACCGAGGCCTTAATTAAATGCGCCCTTTAATAATGAATGCACGCAACGTGCAAATACACACAACCCAGTGAGACTGCCACGGATTTGCAAACTGGTTTATTAGATGACGAAAAGCAAAGGCGTTATTAAAAGAATAAATTTTGTACGCCTTCTATTTTCTTACTCCAAAATTTTGTCTGAAAATATTTTTCGTTTGGTTATTTTTATACAGAAACTAGCTCAAGAAAGAAAGTTGCGAAAATATATTCATTAATTTTTTGTAATATTTGAATTGACTTTTCGTTTATTCTGTTTTAAATTTGAAAATATTAGCTTTTATTTAAACTAGGCTACACCTTGTGATTAAAAATTTACCGATTTCACTTATTTTTTTGTACATAATACACCCACCCCCTCCCTCCCCAATCTTAATATTTATCATGAGCTCAAGAAATCCTAAGGTTTTACAATACTGACAGGCCACAGGTCGCCTCCGAGGTCATTTATAATTAAATTAAGTTTTTTATTTCTCGACGAGCATATAAGTCTGGTTTATATTATTTTCCAATTTGATTAATTTTCAACTGATTAAAATTCTAATTCGGTTAAAACGTTCTCTATAATTAAAGTTCACCATTTTTCATGAAAAAGTGATAAAATTTTACTGATCCAAATGATAAATATTAGTATTTTATTAAAACGTCAAGCGCTTTTTAGAACCGTGAGACCTGCTATCCATAACCAAATACATATAGGGAAACCAGACGAGCAAAAAGTACACATATTAACACTTGAGGAGTGCAAGCTCTGCGAATTATTAAATTGCAGCATTTCCCGCCATCAACTGCGGTCGTTCGCTTCAGAGATTCTCGGCACGATTCGCGATCTCGAGTAGAACAAGCTCGAAAAGTGGTGTCGCGCCGAGAAATATTATCCGTCGCGCGGTGGATTTATTTTCTGCAAGTAGAACTAGAGTATGTGTAATTGCTGTCAACTCACTGTCATCAGGCAGTAAAGCACGGATAGGAAGAGCCGGACCGAGTTGTCGTATCTCATCTGCAAATACTGAAACAGAAAAAGAGAAGACTTTGCTGCAACGAGAGTTCGGTAGCGTCCGGTTTTATACAACCTCAAAAGACGAGAACAGTTGCAATTTGTAAAACACTGGCATGAATGCATAAGCGCTCAGCACACAGACCATAACCTCGGCTATAATGATGACGCCGTACTGTGTGCCGAAAGTGTAGATCTCGGCCGGCACTCCCAGCAAAGACACTCCAGAAATGTAACTAAAAATTATAGATTTTTTAATGAAGTTTTACCAATAAATGATATTTAATTATCATTGGTTGTGATTCTGTTTTTAAAAATTAAAAACTTTTTTATTCTTCCTTACAATACTCTAATAATTGATCAAATTCGCAGCAAATTTTAAGAAATGAAATGTTTCAATTATCCCTATCTTTGATTCATTAAATAATAACTCAATAAAATTATAAGGTAAATATAATTTCAATGTTCCAAGAATTCTTTGTACACATATTATTATCTCGCATGATTGTATCCTAATTTTAACAGTAATTATTTTTTTACCTTGCTACAAGTGACATTGTGATGGGAAATAATCCCATGTTTTTTCCACCCATGAGGTATTCTTTGGTGGTGTTTTGTTTCTGCTTGGCGAAAAACGCAAAGTAGACGCCGATCGCCCCCGACGTCAGCATCAGAGTGCAAAAAACGAAGTAGTCCAAGACGCTGAAGGTTTTGACGGCGCCGGCAATCGATGACGTAGGCATGGCCGTGGAGCTGACAAACACATCATCTGCCGTGTACCTTGATTGCAAAATAAATTAAAACTTTAAATGTATTATAGAGAATATTTATTTAAGAAAATTAAAAATAATCTTATTTAAATGATATGTTGGAAAATAATTTTTCACGTTAAATGATGAAGTAGAATAGTTTTAAATAGTCTGGGATGCATAAAAATGAAACTTTAATTTTAATAGAAAACTTTGCTGCCAATTTTAACAAAAATTGATTGAATTATTTGGAAATGTAAAATTTTGAATTGTATGACACAAAAAAAAAGAGTTTATAACATTTAACTTATGATATTTCCCCTCCTATTTCTGCTAATTAAAAGTTCTCACAAAATCGAAAAAATCAGGAAAATAAAGAATTTAAAAGGACTAAATCAATTATTCTATTAAGCCAATTTCAAGCTTTTCCGTCTTTTCCTGCAAAATAAGATTCTAGAAAGGAAAGCAGTGGCTGCACAATAAACGGCACCATTACTATTCCTTGGAGACGGCGCTTCGCTGCAGAAAAGTGTGGGGCGCAGTGGGAGATTTTGCGACCTCAATGCAGCTTGCGGAATTCACGCCCAGAGCAGCAAAGCGACGTCGGCTTTGATTCTGTGCGAAATGAAATCGAGCGTGCATCGCTTGTGTCGGCTGCGCTGCTCTGTTGTGGAAGTACAAAGCCCATAGTTGGAGAGCCCAGAGTATTTACAGACAGACAGACAAGTCTCTCGCTGGGAAAATTTTCAAGTGGACTCTCTCGTCTCTCAAAGGTTGAGCGAAAAAAAATCTAAAAAATACTCCCCTGGTGAAAGTTGGGTGGGCAGAAAAAGAATAAATGTGCAGTTGAAAGATGGAACAAACGGAAAGGTTAATTTAAGTAGTGCAGTATATTTCGAAAGCATGGTAAATATAACACACCGTGCTTAGTTTACCCGAGACAAGCGGTCCTGAAATTCGCGAGCCGCTTTTCGGTTTGCTGAAATAAAGGGTCGAAATGCGTTCTCAAAAGGAATGTGGGTGGGTGCGTGCTTCTTCTTTTGAGGGATTTGCGGCTGCTGCGACGAGCGAGGGCCTTTTATACTTTGTGTGCTTGCGATGCACTTGAGGAGTTGCTTCCCACGGGAAAATGGGCAAATAACCCCCGATGTAAATTACACCACTTGCCCGCCGAGGAGCACAACGGGTTTTGTGTTTGTCTTTGAATTCTCACAGGAAAACTAAAATCAAACTATGGCGATTTTCCTTGAGGAATTAATTAATGATAGAAATGGAGAATCCAAGAGATAATATATAACAATAAACTAAATCTATGAAAGATTGAAACCGGGCAAACCTCGTTTTTTTTCTTTGCAACGAGGTTCGCCCGGTTTCAATCTTTCATGAAATCCACCTCGGGTGTTACCATTCAACTGAATCTATGAATAGGATAAATGGTTAATTTCAAATTAAAAATCAAAGAAGTCTTTACGACAATTATTTTCCAATAATTTCCAAAAATGGCCCCCTTCACTTGATGTCAATAAGGAGTCCTTATATCTGCTGAAAATTAAATTAAAACTTTAGAAAAAAAATTTAAATCTCTAATAAGAACTTATTTTTTGTAAATAATTTCTGGTGAGGATTTATCTATATAAGAAAAACTTTTATTATCAAATTATTCTATTGAATTTAAATCCAGTTTCCTATTTATGAAATGAATTTTATATTTCAATTGTAAACAAGACGCAGCCAACAGCCAACCATATATAAAATGTAGCCTCATTGTCAGTGCTAAATTAGCCGTTTGGATTTGAAAGTTTAAATTGGCTGGTGGGCCGAACGAACGACACAACATAATGGTCTAACATATACTCACATGTTAGCAAATAATCACTCCACAGGTAGGTAGTTGGGTGTCCCAGTGGCAGCAGACTCTCCCACACCACCGATTGCACTTGAACTATTAGATGCAAATTCCAAACGCATCTATAGGTGTGATGCTGCAACTCTCGGGCCACGCGATAAACACATAATGTGTCGCGTCATTGCCGCTCATGTTCGAAACTAATCCAGAGTAATTTATTGTCAGAGTCAAGGTCTGCAAATAGCCGCGCCGCCGCTCGCCGAGGAGCCACTTGAATGGGGAAAATTGAGCAAATAATGAGAAAATTGCCGTCACGTCATATCTGCTTGGCTATTCTTTTCGCGGCTGCCCTTCGCCCGGTCGGCATCTCAATTTGATCAAATAAAAGCACGGCCGCTTCGATTGCTCCTATTCTTCATTCTTCTCTCTTCCACCGAAGAAGTCCTATGCTTTTTTTCACCTCTGCTATGAAGTTTTTCACATAACAGTTCCAATTAGCAACAGATGATTTATTTCTTTGTTAGACAATTTAGATTTATGAGAATGGAAAATTTATGATCTTGTGATTAAGCAGTTTTTACTATGAACCATGAAAAACGCGAGAGATTATGTCAAATAATGCTAAAATTAGATAAAAGCTATCCCTTTAATTTCTATTCCTACACATTCAAATTAAGTTTCAACAATAAGTTTAGTAGAAATTAATGGAAATCAAATTTCTTTTTCATTACAATTTTTAAAATAATAGGCGAAAGGTTAAATGGTAAATTTGGGCAAGAAGTACGTGATATTTTGAAAGAAAAATAGGAATTAAAAAAAACCTAATAGCCTCGTTGCGCAGCTGAACTTAAAATAGAAGATTGATTGTTTGTTTGATGTAACATTCTCGTCCATATATTAAATAGATATGATATTTTTTTTAGATTATTATTTTTATTCCTTTTAAAGATCTAAACAACAAGTAGAAAAATATTATATAATTTCTCCTCTTTGGATAGTTAAAATCACTTAGCAGGTCCTTCAGAAGCAAGAGCCTTGATGTATTCCTGCAACAAAACAAAATTATTTTTTAGGGAAAATGTGGTCTTTTTAAGAAAATTAACAATTACGAACTGAAAGCCACATTAAATGAAATGTTTCTCAACCTTGTTAAAATGAAATACTGAAATTACTTTGCAACTTTTATGGCCGGCGGTTGTTTAAAGAACATGTAACGTAAAAATCTCTTGGAGACGAGAAACTCTGCAAAGACATTTCTTTTCAGCATCCGTCGCACACAGACGCTTGATGGAAATGCAGCTAGTGCTCTCGTTTCCAATTAACCTGCACTTGCAGCTCATCTTCTCTGTCTGACTGAGAAGAACATATAAACCCGCCTATCTCTCGGCAGTATATAAAAAGAAAGAAGGTGCAACGAACGTATCCAACATAAAAGGAAGCGGCGCGTGTGTTGGTTGAAATTATATATGACGCAGAGCATATATTGCTGTTTCAACAATCATTCACTTGTAAGACGATTTAAGAGTTGGGATTTCAATTCACTGAATGCGCGAGTGTGCCTGCTAATGCAAAAAAATATTAAGAATTTTAAATTTGTATAATCAAACAGTAAGAAATTTTCATATAAAATTTGATTAAAATTTTGTACATTAATAAAATTTAAAACAAGTTTTTACAAAAACAATGACACAATTCTTTTTTTAAACTTTTTCATTTTCAATAAATTATTACATAAATTTATTATTATTGGATATTAATATTTAAAATATTTTATAAGCTTGAACTTAACAATTTAACAAGGTAAAGTAATCAATCAACATTAATTCATTAATGGGATTTGTCTACGTAAATTATAATCCAAGCTGATTTGTAATAATTTGAGGTATTTTTGTATCAAAATTAAATTATTGTTGTTTATTCTCGTCCGAAGATTATACATACATGTCATGGCAAATATCATAAATTGACAAAACAATTTTTGGGAGGGAAAATGTTATTGGACAAGAAAAGGCGCCGCAAACATTTTACTAAAACACATGTAAAAATGTAATATATTGATTACCTTAATTAATTCATAAATTCAATAAAATCCAAAAAGATCTTAAATGCTGGACTACAATTTGCTCTGAAAAGATCTCACAATTCAAGGGTTTCTCATTTTTAATTTTTTTTTTATTTTTTAATTAAAAAAAATGCTTTCAAAGATTCCTTGCTTGCTTAAATGACCAAAATGTTCACTTTTTATCAAATTTGTCAGCGAGTCGTTGCCTCTGAAATGACATTATTATTATCAGGCATAAAAAGGCCGAGTCAAACGTAGGTGGTTCCGCTTTTCTCTCATCTAGCCCTTTTCCACAGCCTTAATCTGCGGCTTTATGCAACCGACTCGACGCCGGGGTCGTGCCGGTTGCAGCCTCTCTCACTCTTTCTCAATGAAGAGATATCTCTGGCATACACACACGGTCGTTTTCACCTACCGTTTCGTTGACGAGCAGCGTTTCCGCAACAGGCTCGTCGTCCTTATCGGCCAGTGGAAGGAAGCGGTGCACCAGGGGGCTGAGCAGGTCTCTGTGCACCTTGCGAGGGTCGTTCGGCCCAGTGATGAGGGTCACAAGGGTGGCGATCAGCACCATCGTCACGAAGCCTATCACCGTCAGGTAGAGGTACGAAATGCGGAAAACCCAAAATGCTTCCTCAATGGCTCTGAAAGTTTTGGAAACAATGAAAAAGTAAAATTTTACATTCTTCTAAAAGTATATCCTTAAAATAAAGATGAATAACATATGAAGGAACAAATAATGAAGCTTTGTTCTGGCACTCATTACAAAAATCAATTAAAATAAATACTAAAATGTTATTTAGGTTTTTCTACACAGTAAGAGATTTTTTAAAAAAATGAAATTAAAATTTAAAAAAAAAAATCATTTAAAGGTTTAACGAAATTTGAGTGATCTAGAACAAAGACAAAAGGGAAAAAAGTGAGAATTAAGAACATTAAACAAAATAATTTGAATAGTTTAAGATCGAAATTTTATTAAATATAAATTATGGTCCGGCAGGGACAAGAATAATTTTTTTTAACATACAAATATGCACGCCAAATTTTATTGATTCAAGTATCACTTGACATTTTTAATTCTATTTTTAAGTGCCAATTTTCTTTGTGTGATTTGCCAAAACGTAAAAAATTTTGATTTTATGAATTGTTGTGTGCAAAGATTTATTTTTATATCGCTATATGTCTCTCTCAAAGCTTGAATAGATAATTTAAAACAGAAAGTCTCATTTTTTTCCTTTTTTTGGTAAATATCACGTCGCGCATTGATGTAGCGTTGACCTTCAGAGGAGCAGACTTCAAATCTCTCACGATGGGCAACAGAGTTAGAATTCTAAGCAACCGAAAATTGCCTTCCCTCCTCTGAGAACTTGAGGGCGGAATTGAAGCACTATAAATTTCATGGTACTCCCGCACTGATGTGTATAAGAGGAGCGATGATGTTTTGGGCGTAAGGAATAAAAAAGCCCTCGTCAGTGTGCGTATTTTTCTTGTCAGCGCGCAGAGGGAAGGCAGAAATTTATCAAAAAAGTTTATACTGACTGGCCGTTGATTGTGGAGTTGGTGGGCGGAAAGGCGTAGCTGCAGCCCTCCACGGACATGGGTTTGGTCTGGAAGCGCAGAGAGCCGCTGGCGATGGCTTGCTGCGAACCGAACGCAACCCACCCGGCCACAAACAGGCTGCTTATGCCGCCAATCAGGGCGCCCTTTACAAACAGAGCATGTTTTAGAAAAGGAAAAGAAATTATAAGGAAAATACATGAGAAAATAAATGATTTCGTGGGCCGGTGCAGGCCGGTGGAAAAAATTCTTCCGTTTGTAAAGGGCAACTTTTTTCTTCCTAAAATTTGTAGAAAAGGATTTTCAAGCAAAATTTTTCTCTATTATTTATTGCTCTAATGTTTTGATTTGTTATTTTTACAAAAATTTCATTTATTATACAATTAATATTTTAATGATGAAAAGATTACATTTAAAAAAAAATCAAAATTTAAAAAAATGAATTTCTTGCTAAAAATTGTAGATTATATGTCCATTTAATGTATGTACTTCCAGTTTTTTAATGATTCAAAATCATTTTATGGAAGAAAAGTTACTTAAATAATATTCTCGAATAAATTTACATTAGTAGTATTAAATGCCAGAAGTCATTTCTGAGCAAATTAAAAAAAGCAAGGATCCTTTTCCTCCAGCGCTTAGCGGAGGTGAAAATTTCATATCCGAAGCGGGATCTAGGAATTTTTTTGTATTCTTTGAAGCGCGTGATTGCCAAAAGTGTTTGTTGCAAATTGAAAGCAGCTCTGCTATTCGTGAACGAGACGTGAAAGAAAAGGCAGCTGCTGTGACTTTCGTCAGTCAAGTTCTGCGAAATGATTTGCCGCCACTGGCAAGGCTCGGGCGCAAACTTTTCATCAATAAGTCTGCACACAAGGCCAATAAAACGAGCGGGACTTACTTTAGCGTTGATCCAGGGCACGGTCATGCCCAGCACGAAAATGCCCAGCATTGCGCCTGCAGTCACTCCGCTGATCGTTCGGCTCAGCTGTACTTTGCAAGAGGTCAATTTTCAGTCTTTATTTGCAAAGAGCGAATGTTTTAAATTTACTTGCAAAGAAAATGTGCAAGAAAAGTTTATCACATTGGCAGCTTTATGTTGATTGAATTTTTCACGTCAGTAAAGTTGGCGATGTCGCCAACTTGACTAACGTTCAATTTTCGTGTTGCTTACAGGGGAATTGAAGAAAGGATAAAAGAACGGTTCATGATTAATTTTGTTAAAAAAAAAATTAATTTAAAAACAACATCAAACCTTTGTGTGTTTTAATTTAGTACATAAGAAATAGACAGAATGAATAATTATCAATTTTTTTCTATGTATGTGTATTTTTATAATTAATTAATGATCTTTACGAAACGAGAAATCTTCAAAATTAAATGAGTAGAGCAATTTTTATTACCAATGTAAAAAAGCGTTACTAATATTAATCTTGTCATGGTAATATTCTGTACAGAAAAATTGCAAAGGAAAATCAAATTTGTACATGAATAAAAGTTAAAGATTATAAAATTTAAAATTAAGAGAGCATTAATTTTTAAATATGACATTAGTTAACAATATCTAGCAAAAAAGCTGAAAATTTATGTAAGAAACAAAAAAATAATAAATGAGAAAGATAAAAAATCTTTAAATTTTATTTTCTATTTTAACAAACTTATTGATTTATATAATTTTAGTAACCTCTAAATTAGTTAATTAGGAGATTAAAAAAATGTTCTCGAGTGTAATTAGAGGAAAGAGATAAAATTTTCCCAAAAACGGGTGTTTCGTTCTTTGTGATAGAATATGCTGGTTGTGTAATAAGCAACCGGGCCCGCAGTTCAAACACACGCGCTCGGGCCAAAATGCTTCATGTCAAGCTGTGGAGGGTCTGGCAAATACACACTTACTTGAATAATAGCGCCCAGTTTGTCGACCACAAATACCAGCGCAGTGCAAAACGTGCCCACAACGACGACTATCACCTTCATGGTGGTGCTGGCCGCCTTTTCCGACATCTGTCTGCCTCGCAGGCACGGCTTAATGAAATCCTGCAGAATCACCCCCGACAACGAGTTGAGATTGGTCGACATGGAGCTGCGAAATAATCATGCTCGAAGTGAATTCACCGAAATATTATGATGATTTTCCACCTGAGCGCCGCGCTGAAAACGCCCGCGATGAACAAGCCGGGAAAGCCGGGGATGGTGTTGGAAAAGTCCATCACGGTGAACGGCAGGATTTGGTCCACCTTCCTAATGGCCTAGCGATTCAATTGGGAAAATACGGTTGAGAGCACGGCTTTTGAAAATGCAAATGAAAGCATACTTGCGTGTGCACGGGATCGCACTCGTGGTACTTTGCGTAAATCACGAGGCCGCTGTAAACGCTGAATATTACAAAAATCACAGTTCCTACCGCCAGTGAAATCAGGGCTCTGAAAAATAATCATTTTGTCTCTCACTTGCTCAAAACCATAATAATCAATACGACTTCAAATCTTATTCGCAATTTTCAAGAATTTTAAGCAACTATATATTTGCGAATTATTTCTATTTTATAGTGTAGCAATTAAATTAACACCCTGTTTGCGGAATTAACCTGAGCAATCACCTGTGTTGGGCCAGAAAAAGGGGTCTAGTTATAATTTAAACTTTGAAAATCGATTTTATAGTAAGAGACTAATTTTTATTTCAAATTAATTTTCAGATCTATCAAGAAAGAACCGATATTTTTTCTTTTTAATTTTCAGAATAGGAAACATTAAAATTGTTTAAACAGTTATCGTTACAAATTTTCATTTCCATGTTTTTTTTTTTTTTTGTAAAATATATTTTTAGTTCGTAAACTTAAATATTTCACTTTTTTTAAATTACTTTTAAATTAAATGGAGAAACAAATTATGAAATAAAATTACTGCCATTATGTAATAAGTAAGTTAGTAGCGATAGATCCTTTTTATATGATATTATTAGTGTCAGAAATTTACTTTCCGACCAATTTACACCCTCACGTTGGAAACCACAAGTTTCCGTTTTGTCGCGTAACGTACAATTTAACGATTTCCAGAATGCATATTTCGCTGATAGAGTCAAGATTTATTGCTGGTGAGAATTTCCGCTGCAATAATCACATTGTTTCCTCGCTGCTGATTTTCATTTTTATAGCCATTTCTCTCTGCCTCGCTTCATTAGAAGCAATTTGTCCGATAAACTAGCGCAGTGTTTTGTTTCTCGAGGAAAATGCATGCAAAGAGAGAGTCACGTTTGACAAAGAGCCTCTACTAATGTAAGCAAGCGAGTGATTTTCAACCGCAAGCACACACGACAACAAAGTTTTTTGCACTTTACATGCAATGCAACTCGGTCACGAGACTTGGTACTTCTACTTGGGTCTTACTTAATAAATTATATTTTCATTTCTTGCCCGAGGTTCTCCTCCACTTTATTATTATATACGAGTGTATTTTTCATCGCGGCGGCGTGGACGTATGGTTGTTGTCGAGAGAGAGCATCTCTCTTCTTCCGTCCTCTTTGTGCCAAATGTAGAGTCCGTGTGTTTTATATTTATGTACACGACAACAACAAACACTGAGCGTCTCTTCTCTTGCTTTGAGAGAGTTCATTGCCGCGTCGAGAGCTTTTCTCTTTTCTTTTTATTTATTGCAGTTTTCGCAGCCGCGGTGTAATTAATCAAGGCGGAGAGTTCTCCTTTGTTCTCTGCCTTACATCTCGACAATACTTAACCGTTTAATTCAATTTTAAAGCAATTTCAAACTAGTTTATGGACTCTTTTCGTCGCACGTTAAATACGGAATAAAAAGCGTCATTTGCAGCGACTGTTTTGCGTTAAACGTTTTTTCCTTGCTCGGAGTAAAAAAGAAGTGATTTATAAATGTTTGTTTGCACTATTCTCAGTAAAGGAGATTGGAAAAATACTTTCATAAATACCAAGTTTATAATATTAAAATCATAAACTTTCAAAGTTTTTGTCGTAAAGGCCTGTCAAAATTTTTTTATTTTAATAAATTTCATTTAATTATTTTAGTAGCAAGTTTAGTTAGAACAAAGTGAAGTCAACAAACTAATATACTTGCATAACTTCATTTTCAAGAGTTTATATCATAGCTAGAATAGCAATAACATTAATAAAATTTAAATATTTATATAGAAATTTTTAAACATTGCTTCTGACCTTATTATTGATTAAGTTAAACAGGTGGCATTTTTATTTTTCTTGCAACGAGGTTTGCCCAGTTTCAATTTTTTCATAAAAACTAATAATTAGGTACAAAGCCTAAGAATATTTTATCATTAAAATCACTAGCTTTTTTAATATAATAGTTTGCTTTCACTACAAAAGATTTGATAATTTTATGCAGAAAAATGGGTCTGAATCTTTGAATTGAAATCATTATTCACCTTTTTGCCTTTTCAATGGTGGGCAGCGCGAGACATCTTTGCAAAATTGCTTGGTTGGCTGCCAAGTGCGCTAACCACATGAAAAAGTTGCCGATGGTGACCGTCCAGAAAGTGTGCCGCACCAAAGGGTCTGGGTCCAAACTGCAAACATAGAAGAGTCAGACCTGCGTTCTGATTAAACGTCAGGGCATGTGTCACTTGAAAAATTCCAATCTGTCACTGTTGGCCGCGCGCTCCATCACAACGCCGAAACCGCCGACGTCCAAAGTGCCCAAAATTGTCACCACCAGAATGCCGGAAATCATGGAAAAGGATTGAAGGGTGTCAGTCCACACCACCGCCCGCAAACCTCCCTAATAATTAGTCGGTTAGATTTTCCTCGATAATTTTGTGAGAAAAAAAATTATTGAACTCACCAGGCTGGTGTAAAAAATGCAAATAGCACACGTTATTGGCGCCACTATGTGAAGATTTGCACCAGATACTGAAAAAAAAATATATAATTGGATATTTTTCAAATTTTCTATAAACTGCATTTAACTCAACTTGCATTTACCTTGACTGAATGCTAAAGCTGGTATGTAAATTATCAATGGTGTGTAAGATATCTGGAGAAAAAAATGTAAGCATTATTTTAGCAACACTAATGTTATCTTTCTCTGCTCCGATTTTTTTTATCAATGTATTGAGCGCTTTTATAAACAATAAACATAAATATAAACATATATATTGACACTAAATAGTTTTTTTTTTTTTTATCAAAAAGGCACTTAATTTCTAAACCTTTCAATAGCTCTGAATTGCCTCTTATTGCTAATTTTTTTTTTTACAACGACAACCTTAAAAATTACAATCTAGGCAACATGTATGGACGCAACGTACTGCATGTTGCATAACAGCACAAAGCATAAAAGGTCGCTTATCTTTTCTCTTCTCTGCCCCTCGTGTCTCAACCTCACTTATCATTCAAAGCAGTCGTTCATCTTCTCTATTATGCGAATCAGAACATCCCGCTTTGTTTTTCTACGGTCGTAGCACGAGTTGCGAAGCAGGGCCGCCGGCGCTGAATTAGAAAATTAACCACTTCAACAGAGGTAATTGCGTGTATTGATCTGCACCGCGGTGGTTCTTGTGCGTTGCATCAACCGTAATTCGCTTGCGCAACGTGCAATTTTGTCCTTTCCTTTCTTTGCTATGCGAGAGCCAAGAAAATTTTCATTCACACTTTGCGTGTGACGCAACGCGCGCGTGCAAGATAATTTATCTTCGCTCAAGCCTTGACAGTGAAATTTCGGGCTTAATGAAGTTTGCTTTGAGCAAACCTCGGGAAAATTGTATCGGTCCAACGTTTAAAGATAAAAAGTGTGTGTGTGTCTAGTTGAGAAAAAGAGCTTTTCGCTTCTCATTACTCAAGCTCACTTTCATGGAAAGATTTTGAGGCTTTTTCCAGCAGTTACGAGATTTACAATTGAAATGGTTTCAGATCGATAAATTTTAATGGCTTGGAAAGCTTGATTCCGTACTAAAAACAAAAGCCTATCATTAAGCTTAAAATAGCTTTGTTTCTGACAGAAATCAGAATAACTCAAGTCTTTCAGATATTCTGTATAGATTTTTTGATTATGATGTTGGATATATGGATAGGAGATTGTTGTAAGTACGTGCTATTAATCTTGATTAATGTTATTAAAGTGATAGAGGCTAAAAGAAACTTCAGAATAATATTATTTTTATTATTAATATTGATCTTGTTATTATTAAAACTGTGCTGATAAATTTAATCAAAAATTTAATATTAATATTTAAATATTCTTCATTTTATTTTACTTGTAATGAATTGCTTAAAATGGCTTTCATACTTTTTTTTTCCTAAAAACGACTTTACCCATGAGTTTCAATTAAAATTCTAGCCTGAAAATTACCATTTAGAACATAAATAATATTCCACCAGTTTAATTACTTAATAATAAGCTTAAATCCTTTAAAAACTCCGGTCAAAAATAAACAGTCAATCAAATTAGAGTCAAAAGAGTGTGACCATAAACATAAAAAAATCCCGCTGTAGGATAATCAGCTGTGAGATACACGAGAATTCACAAATCTTGAGTTTGACGAGACAATTTTTTATAATTTATTTAATAACGTGTGTCTAATTGTAAGATCTTCCATATATTATATTTGAAATTGATAAAAAAAAACATTTATACACTCTCGAGAGAAATTAATCCTCCTTTTCAATTTGTTTTAAATGGATATATTTTTTGCAATAAAATTATAATTCTAGACTTAAATACCTCTGCAACTACTTTTTGCATTGAAAAAACCCCCGCGAAATAATCTTATCTCACACACATAATTGAGATACAATTTTCTATTACCTTCAATTTTAAAAAATAGAATTCAAAGGATTAATTTCGGTGCATTTTTTGCGACTCGGCTAATTAGCCATTCGACCCAATTCCTAGCTCTCAACACAAAACCTCCACACATGTGTTGATATAACCCAATGCTGAACACATGATACAAATTAATTAAATCCAATCGCTTTTACCAGACGTCAGCAAACACACACGGTCTAAAATAATTATCTGAGCAAACCAGCGGCGCACAGAACATTCGCTCACTCGGAGATTATTACATTTCCCATTCGAACCATAACTGCACTCTGCATCACGTTCACCACCATTTATGTACAGAAATCGAGTTGCAGCAGAAGACAATTAATAATGAGACTGTGCGAATGTTTGACAAATAGTTGAGCCGTGATCCAAACATTCATCAAACGGAACGGAGAGACAATTGCATTGGGCGTCCGGTCGCTTTTGTCCACGATTGCCGGCCTGTTATGCGCCAACGGTGCGTTATCCCATCCCCATGCATGCTAATTGCAAAAGTCGATGCATGCAACCATTACGGCGCATATTGTGCCTGGTAAATAATCAGCCGCACTTGTGGAAACACATTGGGTTTATGTGATGGCGCATGCAGAGCGAGAGACAAGTTTCTGGGCTTCGGAGGCTGAATCGATCAGTTCTGCGGTGAACGGTGCATTTGTTGCTGATTGCTCCTTATAATATTGTTTATCTATAGAAAACGTTTATCGTGGGAAAATAGCGGGGATGTGATGTAAAGGTCTTTTTCTGAAAGGATTTCGATGTGGGTTGGAATGGATTTGTTTCATGTTTACCAAATTTTGGAAAACTTGCTGAAAATTAATCTGATATCAAATCGAGTGCGCCTAGTAAAAGGAAAAATTTCCATGGAAACTAATTTAATGCGTAGTTAAAAATTATTAATAATTTAGAGTGTTATCATTCAATATAATATTAATTGGTAAAAAAATATCTAAAAATTAAAAGCATGTAATGATAAAAAAAATTGAATTGATTTCCCCTTTTTAATCGCTCTTAAGTTCATTCTGGCCTTTGTTGGATCTTTAAAAATCGTGTATTTTGAATCAAAGCATAAAATACTTAAATCAATTTTTTTTATATTATATAAAGTTTTTAAGTTTTTGTTGAAAAGATCTTTCTGAAAATTAAACTTTATGTAGGCTTTAGGCTAATTCTTAATTTCTGGAATTTTTTGCGAAATTGTGATGGAAATTTTGCAATTAATATTTTGAAATTAAGTTTTTTACATAATATGCTTTAGGTTCCTTTAAGAAATTAGAATTATTTTATTAAAATGATGTTAATGAAAATAATTCTATTTTGCAAAATATCCCTGTTTATTTAATCACGATCAGTTACAAAGCTTATTAATCTGCTATAATTATAACGTAAAACAGATAAATAATTGCATCAGCGTCTGGCTATCGTGTGTTTGAGAAATCACCCCGTTATGAAATTACATTATATCATCCCCGCATCCAGTACAGCAATTATGCCGGACAAGAGTGCACTGATTACACGCCGATTGCAAACAACTAAACACACGGGCATGTACATTTTATTTAATCGTATACACAGTGCTCTTTAATTACACGCCAGATCCGCGCGCCACTGATCAATCTTTCATAAAGTAATTTTTGCGGTAGATCAAACACGACGTGTGCATGATGATGATGATGTGGAGCGCTGAATGTAATATGTGGCATACATGTTGATGGAGTTAAGGTTTGCAATAATGGCGTGCACACACAAAGACGCAGCAAAACCAAAACAAGAAAAATAATTTATTTCGTTTTTAAATGTGTGGGTTTCATAAAATAAAAATAACGTCGGATAAAAATTCTTGAAACAATTAACATTTGAAAAGGAGGAAATAGTGAAATAAAGGGTTTTTAAACATTTTGTTGTAGGTGAAAATAAAGGACAGTAAATAGATAGAAATTAAGCAAATACAAAAAAACCTGAGCCACAACGCATTCAATGAATGCGCTTTGAAATAGATTCTGGGGCCGGCTTCTATGTATAAGTTTGAAAATTCCAATAAGGCCTGTTATGGAAATATGTGTATAATATGTATATCGATTTTGGTCAACCAACAAGCAGCAGGATAATGCCAGTATTAGCATGCAATAAAATTTACATTACATGTATCTATATATTCGCCGTTTGGCATGGCAGAGTCTGCACTGCACGTGGTTGGACATTATTGCACCGAGTTTCAATTTGATATTCGAGGCACACGTGAGTGCATATTTATATGGCAATCGGCGGCGCTCAAAGCCCTCGCCGGTGGCCAATATGGTGTTCCACTGCATTGCATTTTATTGCTCTCTCCTACGATAAATATTGACGTTTGAGTTCTCCAATTGAACGTTCCGCGATTTGCTTGCGCTTGATTAAGCGTACGATTTGTTCTGTCTGCTGAAACTGCAGCGAGAGGGGTGGCATAATCTGTCATTGAGCTCTGCAATTTATTTTGCTGAAAATGGTTTAATTCTTACCATCTCCTCTTGCACAAAATAGATTCAAACGTTAAGAATATAGTAAAATGAAATTTTTGAAATTTGATTTATCCAGAGGTTTATCAAATTGCAAATGTAAAATTACATAAATTATCAAAAAAATTGAAATTCTTAATATATCCTTTTGAAAGTAAATGAAGAACAAAATTTTCGCGAAATATTTTTTGACGTTTTACAGAAAATGAAATTAGGTACAGTAAGGGGCTCCCTCAAAAAATGGAAAAAAATCAGTGCGTCCGAGAGCGAGCGGAGCTGTAAATTTTCTCGTTTTTGTGTTAACACAAAAGACTCTTGGGCGCGCTCGCAGAATCTGTGTACTTCCATCAGGTTTTCAGCATGGGGAGAGCGCCTCGTAATTCATTAATTAATTAAAATAGGCGGCGTGCGCGCGGTGCAAAGAGTGCCGAAATTAATTAAACAATGTGCGCGCATTATTATTCGAATGTAGCGCGCGTACATAACATTGTGCAGGTTTATTATTCGCGCACACACACCTGCGACAAAAGGGGTCGAAAAGAGAATATTGAACGAGGGAGGGAGAGGGTGCGCGCCTGAAAAGAATAACAGAGAAGGAAAATAAGGATATATGTTTTGCTGTCTTACTGTCATGATGCAGTAGAGCACTGACAAAAGCAGACGCACCGAGCTGTCGTATCGCAGCAGCAAATACTGAAAAATCAAAACAAAAGAACGAAATTCGCAAATTGAATAAAAAGAAAAATCGTGTTATACTGTAAAATAATATTTGCGAAAGATATAAAACTTGTAGGAAAGAAGAACAAAATCAGATTCCGTCGAGATTTTCTCATCAAATTTTAATGAAGAAGAGTGCTTTCGAGTTATTTTTCCAGAGCGAGTGGAAAATTTAATTACCTCAAAGGAGGAGTAAAGCTGGAGTTTGTAGAAAACTGGCATGAAGACGTAGGCTGTAACGAAGCACACGAGGGCTTCGGAAATGAGCACCGCTGCATATTGGGTGCCGTATGTGTAGATTTCAGCGGGGACGCCCAACATGGAGACTCCAGAAATATAGCTTCAAAATAAGAAATTTAATTTGTTTTAGAAAAATTTAATTTCTTTAACAGGCCCTTTTTAATTGAAAAAAGGTTTCCATGAAAAGCGGCTTAACAAAATTTAACGAGAAAAAAAGAAAAATTTAGCACGTGCGACAGTCTTACGTTGAGGGCCGAAAAAACTCATTTTCTCAATTACGTGCAAACGGCGCGGACAAGGAGTGGAAATGAAAATTATATTGGGTGGGTGTTCATTTCCTCATAATCTGCGTCTCACTCTTTTTTTCTGCTGGGGAGCGAAAGTCTAGAATTGTAAGAGCTCCGGCGCAATAGCAATAGAGAGACCGGGCCGGCGAAGAAGTTGTTTATCTGCAGATAATCTCCGCTCTTATTGCAATACGTGCTTTTATCCAGCTGCGACGCGCGCACCACGGAATTTTTCGGTTTTCGGCGCAATAAAAAGGACTAGATTGTGCATTTGTGATTAAAAAAAATTAAAAAAAATTACCTTGCAATCAGGGACATTGTAATTGGAAAAATGGCCATGTTTTTACCACCCATCAAGTATTCGGCTGTCGTGTTTTGCTTTTGTTTAGCAAAAAAGGCAAAATAAACGCCGATGAGGGTCGAAAACAACATCAGGGTGCAGAAAATTGAATAGTCTAGGATGGACATTGCTTTCGGCGTAAAGCCTAGTTTGGTTGATTGCTCTAGTGGATCCATCGTGGCCACACTATAAATAGTTAAATAAAAAATACAGTTAATTTTAAAGTAATAAAAAATTAATTAATTAATTTTTTCTTATTAAATACATAGCTCACAATGTTCTAAAAATGTTGGACGGTTCACGTGTGGGGTCAGCTGGAATGTGTTACAATGTGACCCAGAGAGCAGTGTCCCCAATCAGAGGCGGCAAGAAGGACTGCCAGGCATTCTGGTGACCGAAGGACGTGAAGCAATTGGGTGCTCTGAAGAGATGATGATGATAATGAGCCGCGTGTAGTGCGCGGCTCCATCGCTCTATTTCTCATTTGAAGAGCGCCCACAAGGCGCAACCATCTTCTACCTCTTTCTTTTGCACAGCTCTTTCTAAACCAAGAAGGAGAGAGCTTTTTGCAATTAATTGCATTCAAAGGATTTTTTAAACAAAAAGAGAAAGATAATATCCAGTTTTTTCTTTTTGACAGACGAGTGCATTTTTTTTTTGCGACCTATTCTTTCCGAAATCACCTTAATTTATCACAAAAAATGTGATAAAAAGCATCCAATTATTTTCGATCCTTGGAAAATTTATACCTTTTGTCGTAAGCATTGTGGCCAGGAAAAAACAGTGAAATTTTCCATTTTTTATGGCTAGCATATAAGCTTTTTGTTGAATTGAATTAATTCATTTAAGCGTAAAGGTACTTTTTTTGCTATTTATAAAATATTTTATGCTTTTTATCCTAAAAAATAGCCACCTCAAATGATGAGCACAATATTTTTTTCTCCTATAACCTCTGCGAAATGGTCTTTGATTTTTCACAATATGTGCATTATATTTTCCACTGCCTGCTATCTACTGATATAAAACAGATTCAATCCAGTTGTAATTGTGTTTGGCCTGTGCGTAACAACAATTGCTTCTTCAATTTTAGAAAGCATGTTTTAACATGATAGAGGCAAACAACCGCAATTACTCAAGGTTATTGCGAACATGAGTTGCAAAAGCGGTTTATCTTTTATTTTAAACTTTACGTGGCCTCCAGCAAATTTAATGATCCTAAAATAGTTTATCACGCTAGATTTAAATTGGCAAGTATTTAGGAGACGTAGAAAAAGACACCTAATTTTTATGATATTGAAATGATGGAAATGATATACATTTAGAACTATTTCGGACATGAAACTTCAAAGTTATTTATTAGCGTATGTGATTTCCATGGCATTAGTGGGAGTGATTTTGAATCCCTGAAGTGCAGTCATTGCCGCCGCTGATTGTCCTTCACTGTCAAACTCAACGAACGCTATGTCGTGTCTGTTTGGTACTAGCCGAACTTCTTTGAAGCCGGGAAACCTTAAATTAAAAAAAATGTATCATTATTAAATTAATCATCTTGACTTTTTTTCATTAATTTGTATTAGACAGCAGGGGGATGTCAGATCTGCATATCATTTTAAGCAGCGCCTCAGCAATGCCTTGAATGGCACCAAATTTCCACTGGATGCTCTTTATGACCTTTACCAGCAGTGAGCAAAAAGGAAAAGAGGGACGGTGGTATGCACCAGATGTCCTGCTGCACTTCTCCACCCTCCCAATTTCTCTTATTTTTCTGCTACATGGTGCCATTCCCTTCCAAAGATGACCGAAAATCGGATCCGACAACCCCTGTTCGACAATAGAAAAATAAACATACTGGTTGAAAAGCATGGAGAGCATCATGGACGTTGTTTCTTCTGGAAGATTTTTCAGGAAAAGAATCTGGTTCGCAACCTTGGTATCGGTCGGAGCATCAACTGAAAAATTAATTTTCATAATGAAAATTTGCAAATCGTTATAATTAATTTAATTACCATCCATGTCCATTTCTTTTCCATTGGTGTCTCCTTCGACAGGTTCAGTGACCATCGGTGTGGCAGCTTGGGGTGCAGCTTGTTCCCCTCCATACATTTGTCGGAACCTCTTTGAAGGCATCGAAACCTTTAGCCTGGCGATTTCTTCAGCTTCTCTTTTAGCATAACTCAGAACCTTCAAACAAAGGGCAAAAATTAATATTGTATATATTGGACAAATTTCTAGATTTAAATTCAACTTACAAGCTGCTTTTTGTAAAAGAGGAATCCTTGCATGCCGCGAATTGCGTTCGAGGCGCTATTAATGTCCTGAAAGACAATAAATGCCTGTCCTCTCATTTTAGGCGTTTTCAGGGCCACAACCTCCATGATGTAGCCAAACTGAGAGAAGAGGTAGTAAAGCGATCGCTTTAACTCTAAAAAAAGGAAGGTTTGATTCAGTTTGATTAGATAAAAAACTGTATAAAAATATGAAATGAAGACTCTTAACTTTCTTTTTAATATCAAAATATGAGAGTGAAATTATCAACCCCCACTTTATAACAAAATAATGAAAAAAAAACCATACAAACCCTCTTTCTTGACAGATTCATCCAGATTTTTAATGTAAACCGTGTGACAAGGGGCGACGTCCATGGTCATATTTTACCTTTTATCTGCAGATTACGAAGACTGAAACAATAATTTGTTTTTGAATAACTTTGCGAGTGACCTATCAGTTGATTTCTTTATTAGTGAAAAATTAAACTTAAAAAAGGCAAAAAGGAAATTTCTGTTTTAAAAACTGGAGCCTTTCCAGCGTGATGCTTTGTTTACGCGTTCCTTACGCGTTCCGTGGTGCGTTTTCATACGCCCACGTCAAAATTCAGAAACCTTGATAAAAACGAAAACGTTCCCGAGCTTATACCTTTCTTTCTAATTGAATCCAAATCGTCGAATTGGTCGGGCAAACAATAAAAATTCGGCAAATTGATAAGAACCAGGAAATCACCGGTCCACTTTGTCGACAAACACAAACACAAGCTGAAGCACAAAACACAAAAGTGGTGGGGGTTAGAAGGTGGGCGTGGTCGTCCCTAAAGACAGAGACGTCGATGAAAAAATCAAAACAAGCAATTCAGCAAAGAATTTTCTTCTAATTTCGACTTCATTTTTCGGGGGAAAATGCGGGACCGGGTGCTGAAAATGGTGGAGAACCGGTGTAGGGTGCTGTTCATCTGTATTATCATCAGTCTGTGGCCGATGAGCGACGCTTTTGATGGCAAGGCGTTCGACGACACCATCCTCTTCAAAATCAACTGGCCCGGCAAAGAGGGTCTCGATGCCCCGGTATATATAAATGGCATGCAGGGCATTATACTGCGTTTTACTGAAACTTTTCTCAATTCCAGCCTCTGGACAATCACGAGTCGCTGGTGATGACCACGATTAATAATGAAAAATACAATTGTTTGCTTCCGCAAACTCTCGAGGGAGAGCAGGTCTGTCAAAAAACTCATAAAATGTTCGAAATGTTCTGCAAGTCATGAATATTTTTGGCCACAGGATAAGCCAGAAGTCTATGCTGGACCTACTGCCCTGGAGCTGATGCTTCCTCTTTTGAAACAGACTGGTGGCCAATCTCCATGCTCTTACAGAGTATATAATTTTTAATATTAAAGATAAAAATTTATAATTATATTAGATTTAATAAAAAAAAACTAACTTCTTTTTAAATTTTTGTTTAAGAAAGCTATTTATTTATTTTTAAAAGCTAAAAAAAAACAGATGCAGAATGAAGTCTGGTGTTTAAAAAAAATATAATGCACAAAAATTAATTAGTGTCGATGCATTTGAAAGTTTTGGCTAGATTCTTTAATACATATTATTTCTTAATGGATTTTAATTGTTTATAAATTGAGCTAGTTTCTGTGATTCAAATCTGAAGATTTGTAATTATTATTATGTTTCTTTCATCTAACGACTGAATTTGTATTTCTTATTTCAAGCTTGAGTCTTACTGGACATATGAGTTGTGCCACGGCAAGTACATGCGCCAGTTCCACGAAGACCGAGAGGGCAAGAAACAAAAACTCCAAGAGTACTATCTTGGGAAGTGGGACTCGAAGTACTTAGAGAAACTGAGCAAAAGTATGAATTGGTATTTTTAATTGGGCAAAAATTATTTATGAAACAATCAGGTGACTTCCAAGCACTTGAAGAGGCTCAAAAACTCTCCATCCAAGTGAAGAAAATCGATGGCATGAGTTTGCCCTACCTGCAGATCAACATGAGCGATGGGACCCTGTGCGACCTGAACAAAAAGCCAAGGTCCACTCGTGTGCAATATGTCTGCTACCAACACGGCAAGCACGAAATTTACTCCCTGAAGGAGACCAGCACTTGCGAGTACGAGGCAGTCGTTTTGTCGCCATTCTTGTGCAGCCACCCTCTCTACAGGTAAAAATTCATTATTTTGTTAAATTGAAATTAATTTAAACAATGACTATTTTGTACTTCAAAATTGCGTCGAATTTTAAAACTTTTTGAAATTATTTAAATGAAGGAAGAAATGAAGATAAGAGAGGATTCACTTTATGGCATTATTTGGAGACTGCTAAAGGTGCTTCATTAAAAAAAAAAAACTTATCCTATACTTTACAATTGGCAGTGAAAAAAGTTCAAATTAATAATTTAAAAAATCAATATTTTTAATTGCCTAAATTTTCAATGTGTATAAAGTGTAAATTTTTTTTGCCTTTTATTAACTTAAGATAATATGATCACTTTCTTTTTATTTCAGACCACAAGAGACGGGAGAAAATCAAGTTTCCTGCTACCCTCTTGAGAGCTCTCCGAAGAAGCCAAAAAACCTGATCGCCATGGAGGCTGAAAGTCTGAAACTGCGCCACCAAAAGGGCATTGTAAGATTTTATTCCTGTGCTTCTTTCACCCCCAGCTAAATACTTTGAATCCCAATTTTGAGCTTTCCACAAGTGGCATGTTGTGCTGGCACCCAGTTGTTTTAGGTTTGACGTAGTCTGTAGTGTTTTGCTTATTTGTAGGAGCAGTCGTCAAAAAGCATCCTAGAAAAGGATGGCCAGAAGATAATTGTCTCCATTAGTCCAATTGATGGACAGGTTTGTGAGATTTCCCTCAGTTTTCCTTCCTCTCTGTAAAACTTGCACCGTGCTTTTGAATTTATTAGAATTCAATTGTTAAAAAAGTTACCTAATTTTGATCAAAATTTAAAAAATATTATTTCAGGACTCTTTAGAAAGTCTTTTAGAGCACGTACTGAATGATGTATGCCAGGATTTGAGTTAAGAACGATTTTATTTTAATTCGGTTTTTTTGTAGGACAAAGTTAGAGTGGAGATCAAATCATTTGACATTCCTGAAGACAGTGAACCTGGTGACTCTGCGGACAAACTGCAGAATCTGCAGCAAAAGGCAATACTGAGAAGGACGGCCATAAGCAATTTCTTGGATGGAAAAAATTGTTTGACAGGGGTATGTTTGTGTGCATAATCACTTTTGTTAAATTAAAATTTGAAGATGTAAATAAAAAAAATATTAAAAGGGTTAAAATAAACATCTTCAAATTTTTAATTGATTATATAATCTTCTGTAACATTTTTTTTTATTTAAAGTAAATTTAAGGGACCTGCAATAAAAATCTAATTTAACTTTTTCTTAGGGTAATGGTTGGTGGAAGTACGAGTTTTGCTACGGCCAGAAAGTGGAGCAGTACCATGAAGAGAAAGACGGACGGAACTCAATCATCTTGGGCATCTTTGATTTGCAGAGGCACAGGCAGTGGTTGCAAGAAAACCCGCACAAGAAGCCCAAGCCTCTCGGGCAGAGGAAACAAGTTTCGCACCTCTACTCGGGAGGTAGCTTTTGCGAAAAGGTCAACAAGCCGCGCCAGGTCGAGGTCAAACTGAAATGTCTGGAAGATTCCTCATCGAGTGCAATTTCCCTCTACCTGCTCGAACCAAGAACCTGCGAGTACCTTCTTGGGGTCGAATCAACCGTCATCTGCGACCTCTTACCCTACGCAGATGAAGATGGTCTTTTGAACGTCCCTGATTACGGTCAAATCAAGAAAGTGGCAGAAATGATGATGGACAAAATCATGGGTTCGGACGGACACAAAATCCACTTGCTCGATTTGGAGGGGGAGGAGATTCATGGATTGGACGAAGAAGAAAATAAAAATGATGATGCGCCAAGAACGCTAAATTTTGAAACAGAGGAAGCTAAAGAGCAGAAAGGTGAAGAGGAGGAGACTGCAAAATCTGTCGAGGTCAAGGACGAGCTTTAAACCCAAGACACCTATTTTGAGCACACGCAAAACGGACTTGCTTTCATTGTGCGCCGAGCTCGAAACTTATTTTTGTGATTTCCATCTAGTTTTTAATTTTACATGTAATTAACTTGCCTGAAAAATTGAATTTATATGCAAGCCTATTGTTGTTTGTTACCTCCTATGTGTTTGGTCAGGTTTTTATGAGGAAATTAAAAAAAAAAGACAATTATAGTTTGGTACAGTCGTGGAAAGAGAATGAATGCTAATAAAAATGACAAGAATGTTGGTTAAATTTGTCGTTTTAATATGCACGGTGGAAATGAAAAGCAGTAGGTTCAATTTTCTGTTTATTTATTTCACAATCAGAGATGGTAAAATGAAAAATCATTAAATTAGTGAATTAATTCTAAAATCATTCGTCAGTTTGTAATACTGCGACAGGAAATTGTACACTTTGACAAGAAGAATAACATAATTTACAGACAAAAAATAAATAAATGTAACAAATAATTAACAATAATAGTATAATACTTTCAGCGTAATACTCAATGCTTGAAATACTCTTTTGGTAAAATGGGACCACATTTGGCACTGTCTGATTGAAATCAAAAACACTACAGTGATGCCAAAGAACAGAAAAACAGTAATACACAATCCAACAAATACTTTGCGTCTGTGATGTGGCGTGTTCCTTGTAAATAATGATTTTACACTCGATTATACTAAAAATTTCAATAAGAATAACGCACATTGCAAATATCCCTTGATCAAAAAATGAGGGGGCGCACGTGGCCTTCCCCTATATAAATGCAACAAATAATTTACGCGTGTTCCATTGAAAGAAATTCCTCTCGTAAACAACGAAGTTGTTTCGCAGCTTCGACTTCTTTTTTCTTTTAAATTATTTTGTTTCGCTATAGCAAGACATTAAAACACACCGAATTTTATTTCCTTAGTACTTTCATAATCTCACAACAAGCTCTGGAAGGGATCACTGCAGCTAAAACTTGTTTGTCTTCCATTATGTCCTAATGTAATTCAGTAATGCATAGTTTGACATAGCATGTATTTTTATATTTAATTAGTTATCTCAATAATAATATTGGTAATAATAATTAATAGTGTGAATGTAATAATAACTGTTGTAATAGCCTTTTTCAATAAATTTTCCTCTGCACGTGCGCTCGTCGTGAAGGTGAAAAGCAGTTTTGCATTTTTTTTTTTGGCGATTTTAGATTTTTTCACATGTACAGGTTAATAAGAAAGGTACACATGCTCTTGCTCAGCGTCAAGTTCAAGCACTCTCGCGTTCTGATTCACCACCCACGCACCAACTAATTTTTCACACACTTTACATATATCGAAGAAGAGTTTTTTTATATACCCATCCGCACTTACTTCTTGTGGTTAGTTAAATGCACATGCATCACACAGTGTTCAATTATTTATTAATTTTATATAATTAATGCTTGCGTGAATACGTCATTAGCTATTTGCGAAATAACCAATTTCCGCCGTACTCCGCTTGATCTGTGTTATTTCATTTTTCCTCAAACATTTTCTTTTTTTTGTGTTATTTCATCTAGAACAGCCTTCTCAAGCAATGTGCATTCTCAAATTTGTGCTAGTTTTTTTTCTTCTAAAGCGCGCTTTTCCGGTGATTCTGTTTTTCTAAGTTTCTTTTTTCGTTTTAAATATATATATAATTATTTATTATATATAAATTTGCAAATTTCGTTTTTCGCGCTCAAGAGTGCTTACGTTAGTATAAAAACCGGTCGCGGGGCCCGTTAGATTAGACCAGGGCCCACCTGCTTTGCTCCGAGTTGGGTCCTGGCTAAACCTCTGAATCTTGACAAGACAAGGTTTAAAGGTAGCCAGCCATGCAAAGGGCGCCGAGAGCGGTTTTGTTGCACGACCCAAGTGTGAGTGTGTGGACAAATCGCGTCAATAAATGTGTATGTGTGCTGATACGTCTCTGTTTCACCCGTAGGTCAAAAAGAACCAGAAGCGAAAGAAAAATGAGTGCTTACTGAATAATAAGTACAAAATTTGTATCTCGGTTTTTTGTGAGGTGTGTTTTTTTTAATATAACTTTCCGATCGGATGTATATCAATCATCCATAATAACTATATGCATGCTATCAAATCGTTATTATTTATTCTCGGTCCAAGTGGCGAAAGCTGAGGAGAATCGACACCGACAATGTTAACAACTTTTGCATATGTGAGTTTGTGTGTGTGTGTGTGTGTGTTTGTGAGAGAGTTTAATATGTGTGGCATCTGTTTTTAAATTGGCCTATATCCGCTGTGGGGTGTGTGTTAGCTCACCGAACAATTATAATTCAAGATAATAATAACGCTCCAAACGCAGGATAGACTACGGTCCACCGGCAGTGGCACAATAGACATTCATATATAGAGCACAACCAACAAAACAACATTAAAAGTTTAAAAACTGAATTCATCTCTCGCCAACAGTGTGAGATTGAACCAAAGTGCTGTCACAACAGTTTTTTTTAATGTTAAGTACTAAATCGGTGGATCAACTTCCACGATAACAAGCGAGACAAAATAAGAAATCATAAAATGACTGACGTTTTCCTCGAATCTGCCGTACACTCACAACGACCATGTTTGTTCACTTGGCTTCTTCCTAAATGCGAATTTTAGTGTGGTGCTCAGTTTTAATTTTTAATATCAAATCACGAATAGCTGTGCATGCTTGGCTGTGTGACTGTCGAGGACGTGCAGTTGGTTAAAAATCTTATCTGTATCAGCAAGTGATTGATTTTCTTTCCGCCCTGCTCGGCAGCTTTGACTAGGAATGAGTGATAGCTTGAGAGTGGCCCAGTGGAACGGGGACGGCAATTAGACCAACCAAGGTGCCGTCTGCCGACAGCCACACATAGTTTTATGACTTTGCTTGACTGCACTAGTGTTCAGTTGAACCGACTTTTTTGGGCTCGGGTCCAGCGCTCGAACAAGGTAAATTCAATGCTATATAGCGTGTTTCTTAAAATTAATTGTGATGTATGTTTTATGCTTAAAATAAATTAACACGATCAATAAATTAAAATGCAGAGCGACAATACGTCTAAAACAGTATAAGAGAATTCTTCGGAGGGCCTGCCGTAGCACCCTTTTGATCAGACATCACGTTTCTTCTGTACAGAGTAAAATTTCATATACCAATTCACTGGCAAAACCAATTCAATGAAAGGAGATTCGATAAAAACTCCTCCGAGGACAATTTTTGTGTGTTTTTAGACTTGCAAACATAACACGTCTCAACTAGATTCCGAAGAAACATGGCGACAGGAAAATTAAAATCGATTTTTGAGATTCGTTGTGCAACTACAAATCCTCTGGTTCTTGGAAACTCAAACCAGGGCAAGGGAGATACGAAGCCTCAGCGATTCTCGAGAGTAATACGGTGCACCTCTCAGAGACGGAAAACCGAATACGCGGCAAAACAATGTCCAAAAATCGAATACCCACTTGTCGGCAGGAGGAGAAAAGAAGATCAGCGGGATCAGGTGACTGATATTCTTCTGACTAGGCAATTAGTGGTTACTTGTCTGCGTGGAAACGCATAGGATTGAAGTCTGGGTTGACGAAGGAAAAGCCTTTGAATTCCTCCTGGTTAATGGCGCGCACCACGTCCATGTGGATAGGAGTCAGCACAGGCTCCTCCTTGGTGAACTCGGAGTCAAAGTTGAGTGCATCCTTCTTGCTCTTCTGCAAATTGATACACAAAATAGGCAATCCAATATCACAATTAGAGGAAAACTTACAATCTTAGGCTTGAACGGTGGCTTTACTTTTCTCCCTTCTAATGCAACCCAGTCGATTTCTTTGAAAAACGGATGAATCCTAATCGCCGCTTCTTCATTTTGCGAAACTACGCATCCTAACCTCTTTGCTGGGTTTTTAGTCATGAACTGAGATTTCAAGTAAAGTTACAACCACGGAAATTATTGGATTATTGAAAAACATACCCCTTTTAAGATCGACACAGCATCTTTGCTTAGCCACACAGGGTACAAAACGTCGTCGTGCAATATCGACTCGAATAAGTCATCTTCGTTATCTGCCTCAAAAGGTGGCTGACCGGCCATCATTTCGTACATCAGCACACCCAACGCCCACCAGTCCACACTAGCACCGTAATCTTGCTCTTGGAGAATCTAAATTTAACAATTATAAGTCGGTAAATTGGGTAAATTTATTAAAATGGTTTTAAATACATAAAAGCACCATTTCATGATGTTCATCTAAGAAAATTAAATTTATATATTTTTTTGGAATTTGTTTGTACCTCTGGGGCGATATAGTCAGGGGTGCCGCAGAAAGTGGTGGTTGTGACACCTTGCATGATGCCCTCCTTGCACATGCCAAAATCAGCCAGCTTGCAGTGGCCTTCATTGTCAAGTAGAATGTTATCCAGTTTTAAGTCTCTGTACACAACTCCATGCTTGTGCAGAAACTGGAGGGCCAAAGTGACTTCTGCGGCGTAAAACCTGGCTCGAGGTTCGTCGAACTTGCGGGCGCGCTGGATTTGGAACATCAAGTCGCCGCCGTTCACATACTCCATCACAAAGAACAACCGGTCCTTCAGAAACAAGTTTTAATCAATATTTTCATCACTTTTTATTTTAAATATTACTTTTGTTTGGAAGCTAGAATGGAGAGCAGTGAGGAAGGGGTGCTTTGCCGCAAGTGAAAGAATTCTCTTTTCGGTCATCGTGCAGTCAACGTCGTCATCTTGAATGATGACGTCCTTTTTCAGAACCTGAAGTTTTCAAATTCAAGTTTATTTTTTCATTTTCTATCAATTTTCAAATTCTATCGTTACCTTCACAGCATACACCTCTTCAGTCCCTTTCATCTCTGCCAGCATGACTTTTCCAAAACTTCCCTTGCCAAGCACTTTGAGGAAGTTGAAGTTTTCCAGACCTAGTTTCTTTTCCTTGCCTGTTCTTTCAGTCTGCACCTCTGTTTGACCTGATTGAAAATTATTAATAAATATCAGTACGAGGACGAGGAAAAAAATCAAACCGTAGTCAATATCTGGAACTTCTGCATCTTTTAGGTTTTCTCTAATTTTCTCCTCCATTACTTTCTGGGCCACCAGTCTCATGTGAACTTCGTCATCCTGCTGTGAGCCGGTAGTGGACCCTGCTGCTTCGTCTTCGGCAGGCACGTTAAGTTGGGTCAAACTTTTGTCAGAGTGTGAGGTATTTGAAGATCCACTGATTGGCGTCTGCAAATTAAAATTGCAGTTAAAAACCCATTTTGAGAGTTTAATTTCAAATCTGCTTACCTTCGTTCTCCTGGGTGTCAGCTTGTGAGTAGATATTCCCATGGCGTTGAGGATTTCTGCCATTTGTTTTGTATCGATACCACAATTGTTGGCTACATTCTTCTGACAGCGTTTATGGACATTCATATTACAAACTGCAAGACGTTTGGAACAGTTAGTTTGCTTTGGCTATAAGAATTGGAGGATATTACCTTCGCACTGGAGTCCTTGCTTAATAAGGCCATACAAGAGTGAACCGCAGTGATCACAGAATGTAAAGCGCTTATAGTTGTGCACAACAAACCTGTGTGGGACGTTAACATTAAACCTCTGGGCCTGGCCCTGCAACTGGAGAAAGACGTATAATTAGATTTTATTAAATTACTTAGAGCTGAAAATAAAAACCATACCAAAGAATTGCTCTTTGTGTCTGAATTGATAAAAATAAAAGTGAAATAAATAAAACTTGAAAGTCAATTCTATTTTGGGTTACTTACATTTTCTCTTGGTTCCTCTGGTGCACCATCTTTTAAGCCTGGACATTTTGTAACTACCTGGTCGTGACATCTTTTGTGAACAACGCAAGTACACACTTGACACTGATATCCTTGTTTACCCAAACCCCTGAAACACATGATCGGAGTTGCACGAAACGCTTCAATTTTTCGACCAAATCTCACCAAATAAAGTTTCTGCAGTGCGAACAGAACGTAGGTTGTCTCAAGAAAGTTGCCATGAATTTGTGACCGTTGATTTGGTGGACTCTTCTCCTCATTGCGCCCCTTCTTCTGTTGAAACCCTGTCTTTCCTTGAACTCCCGCGGCTTCTCCATTGGGTGATCTGTTTAAAAATCGACACGGCCGTTAGAAATTGCACGTTTGTGAGCCAAGGCTGAGTATTTATTAAATTTACTAGAAGGTGCTGCAAATCAGCAACAAGGCAAGCACGGGTTACAAAACTAAATTATACAGAAATAATATAAGCTTGGAAAGTGATTTAAAAAAAAACGCAAAAATTAAAGTACCTTGTGTAGTCCATTTCAAATCAACTTTGACGTGTATCTTCCCCTGCGGTTCAAGATCAACCTGAAACACAACCAAAATGACATTAAGAATTTTTGTACTGAAACATATACAAAAATAATTTGGCATGAATTAATGCGCTAATTAGAGCAGTTTCTCTTGCCAAACAAGATTTTTTTTTAAATTGTATGGGATGTTGAGAGGTCTAGTCCAGTTCTTAAAAGAGGGACATTTGTTTTATTTGCGAGTAGCTGAAACTATTTTTGCACAAGCAGGAGACACCAGACAAAAAATCATCCAAAGCTTTCAAAATTAAATTCCTGCACATTTCAAGAAAGAATTATTTTGCAAATAATATTTTCCGCGGGTAAAAGTTTCAAATAATTTGAAATCAATAAAAATAAAATTTTTGAAAAAGAATCCATAATTTAAATTATTCTTAAATTTTCTCATTAAACAACGTTAAATTTTTCTTTCATCTCTGCATGTGAAAATATTACTGCACGTGATGAGGGCCAGCCACTTATTTCTCGTCTTTATTCATTCTCTTTTATAAATAAATATTTTTTTTTCGAATTTGGAATTCTGGGCCATGAGCGAGTCGATGTGGGCTGTGGAAAAAGCGGCGCGGCCTCCGCCAGACATAACATCATCACAAGAAATAAGGTGGAGAGGGGGAGGGAGAATGACTTGTTCTCTGTTCACATGCTACAGGGGGCAGTCAAAGGGGTTGGCGCTGCTGTTCTCGAGCTGCACTGATCGATTGTACCGGCGGCGGCTGGAGGTGGCCGTATGAAGGCTGCCTGCCTGCCTCGCCACTTGCGCTCCGCCGCGCGCTCACCTCGCATGTCACCTTGCCCTCGCCGAAACCAGACCTTCCCAAGGTCGTTACACATTTTTGAAACCCCGACAGTGCGAAATTTAGATCCCAGAAAGGTCACGTGTAGGTAAAAAGGGAAAAATTTTGACCATAGAAACAATTTGTGTTGTTGATTATTTTCCTTTTTTGCAAGTTCCGAATATAAAGTGCATATGAAATAGATTTTTTCCGATTTCAGAACTGCTTTTTTTAAATGTAAGCATCTTATCACCGAAACGAAAATCACTATGGAAATATTTATTTAGTTTTATCATGCAGGCGCAACAAACTTCCCTTCAATTGTATTCAAATATTGTTCTTGCAAAGAGTGGACCGCGTGGTTCCGGAAGTGTCACAGGAAGTGGCGGCTCAAAACGATAATGGGCAATTATTACCACTTTAGTGGCAAACCAAAGTTCTGCGTGTGGTTTTTACGAGAACAGAATGCATTGGCCCCGAAAGTACTACAATAATAGAGGTCAGATAATTTACTCTCACAATCAGACATGGAGAGAGAAATGCATAATTTTCGGTGCTTATGCAGCCGGCGTGGTGCATACGTTCGGCAGGTTGCATAAACGATAAATCTGTCAGGCGTGGCTTCCAACTTCTAATGATCAATTAAATTAAATTTATTATTCTAATTATTGGTGATGTAAAATAAATATTTATATGCAGAATTAACTGATTAAATAATTGAAAAATTGTATTGCATCTAAATTATAGATGGTTATCACATATCCTTTTTTCTTTTTTGTAATAGAAAAATAGATTACATGCGTAAATAAACTGGATATTTTTACTGCACAAATAATAAAATGGTAATATTTATAAAAACATCTGGATTTTCAGGAACAGGCTAAAATGCTCTTTTTGTTTCTTCTACTGCACAGAATACTTTCAAATAATCTGTTTGTTAAAATATTAAAAATGAACTTGAACCTTTGGTCAGAAGATAATTATAATTTATTTCTACTTTAATTAATAAAACTATATTTTTTCAAGGTTTGTTGAAAATAAATATTACGTATGGTTTCCTTTTTTTAATTTCTATCAAGTTCTACCAAATCATGGTATTATTTAAATTATTAATGGAAAAAATCTAAGTATTAAGCGACAAATATTTATGACTTAAGTGAAAGAATAATAAAAAAAATTCTTGAAAAAGCTCACAATCGAAGGTTTACGATGATTTAAATTTTATTTTGTTTTTTTCCATGACACAATAAAATGCTCTAAACCCCGTCTTTAAATTTAAACATTAAATTTAATTTGTTTGAAGAAGTTGACACTCATGGAGATGATCATGGGAATGAAGCGATCGGGCTTTTCCTCGTTTCAGAAAATTGTTTTTATTCAAACACGGTCTGCGACCCTATTTCATGAGCAAACGCGCTGCTCGCTGACCAATACAAATTCTTGTATTACAAATCGCTTCATTTCCATTAAATTTAATAATAATTTAAAATTTCAGGGAAATTCAATACTTTGAAATACAACCTATGGGAAGGTAGAATAAGAAAATTCTTATAAAAACTTTGGAATTTTTTTGTTGAAAATAATGTAAAATATTAGTAAACGGTTCAAGGTCCTTTCTTGCCATAAGTGAAAAAAATTCGCATCAAACGACGCGTTAGAATGGAGGGTTGACGCAATTTGAAAAGGAGGAGAGAACTCAGCAGCTGATGGGAGTGCACGCAGCGGCGGTTGTGTTGCAGGAATAAAACAGGCCGGCACATAAGCCAAGCACTTGTTTGACGTCAATGCAAGAAAAGTGAGTGTCAGTGGTGGTGGTGCCGCCGCTGGATGCGCCCCTTCGACGCACACGCGCTATTACCATGTTCGCCATTGACAATTTTTAATCACTAACACGCGCGCCGCCCCAACAATTTATTTATATAATATTCCCAGGCACGCAATCCGAAATTGTTTCCAGCCAGCAACAAGTAGTGAGAGCGAGAGCGCATTCACTCAACAACTATTTTTGGCGGAATGGCTAATTTTAGTATAGAAGTAGTTGTTGTTGTGGTTGCTTGATGATCATTAGGTTGCTAAAAAAGAATAGTTTATGTATTTTTATATTGAAATTTTCTACGTCAAAATTGCCTTTTTCTCCATAATAACGCAATGAAAATAATTAATCATAATTTCAATTTAATTTATGGTACAGTAACAAATAATTTTTTTTCAATTTTTCAAAAAATAAATTAATTTTTGGAAGCCCTATGATAAAGAAATGTTGTAAAATTTAAGCTCAACTTTTCTTATCATTCTTTTAAACGTTTTCCTTTTGACTGGGAGAGTGAAATTTCCGTTGTACAAGCCGATAAAACGAAACACAATCACAAAACCACTTTTCCTAGCCTGATTTCATTCTTTTCTGCTTGATAATATTTATCTGAAGGGAAATTCTGGGGTTTTAAAAGCAGTAACGCTACACTTGAAAAAATGGAAATAAGACAATTAGCATTATTTTGGAAATGAAGCGATCGGGCTTTTCCTCGTTGCAGAAAATTGTTTTAATTCAAAAACAAATGGCTTTACCAGTTTCGGTCACGGTCTGCGACCCTATTTCATGAGCATTATTTTGTTACCTATAAAATTATAGTTAAAATATCATTCTTAATATTCAAAACTTCCAACTTCCTAATTGCAAAATTATACTTAACCTTAAGAAATTAAATATCGATTAATTAATGTTGCTGCTGTTAAATAATTTAATTCAAAGCTATGTAATGTAAAAAAAGCAAGTTTTATTTTCCATTAAAACGAGCAATTAAAAATTAATATTGTCCTGGAATTGGATAAATCGGGATAAATCTTGCAGCTCTGTTTTGCATAAAAAATTAATTAATTCTATTGAAATTTCATTTGATTTGTTAAATTGAATTAAATTCTAATATTTTTTTCTTCTCCCAGACCCACTACAGGAGGTTCAAAGTTTTGATAAGAAAACAAAACAAAGGCGTTCACGTGATTACGTCAGCTTCTTTGGGCTCAGCAGCACGCTCAAAACATAAAATTTGTGATGTTTTTTTTCTACTTTTATGGGGTGCAGGTTGATCCATTGTTTCAAAACTGCAGTCAAATTTTGGCGTGCCAGCAAAAATGTCGATTAGTTAATATGTAGAACAATAAACGAGCACTCAAAGCTAAATCAAACAAGGGATGAGGGGGATGAGGAGCGTACAATATGATATTGTAATGAAATTTATCATGTGGAACATCTCGAGAGGTGCTCTGGAAAGAAGCGCGCTCGTTGCCTGCTTTCCGAGGGCGCGCGCGATGCAACCGGCTCTACTTGTGGCAGCGGCCCATCGACTTTTTTTTTTTTATTTGTCAAATCAGCACACTGGGTTTTCAAGTCGAGAAATCCAGAGGTGCTGCCGAACGCGCTGAAGATTTTGCCTTCATATGGATTTTCTATACTCATTAAAGAACAGCATTTTTTTCAACAAATAAAATTTGATTATCAAATATTTTGTGCAAAATACTAAATTAATGCGATTAAAATTATAAAAATTATTAACGTTACCCATTTATTAAGATATTTATCAAAGAAAACGATTTTACAACTTTGGCATGTACAAATTATAATCCAAGCAATCGAAAGAAACTGCTTTTATGTAAAGCAATATTTGAAAATAAAAAACGTTACTAGTTTTTTGCAGTTTTAATGTAATGCTATATAAATTGCTCTTCAAATAAATATCATCAATCTTAAAGTTTTTTCCAGATCTGCACAATTTATATTGATCGTTTTCATATTATTGTATGAATTTTTTCCTGCATTTTTTCCAATTATAATGTGTAGTTATAAATTATTTTTTTAAACTTGTATTTTTTGTACATCTTGTGTATGGGCGCACAAGAGCGCACCGAATGAAACTGCTTGCACCGTTTGTTAGTGTGGAATGGTGTGGAAGTGCCGGACAACTGTTTTCAGGTGCAATGTTATACATAGACTCTAGAATGCATTACCGTCAAATCTGTGTTTAAATAAAAATGTTAATTTATTGGCATAGTTGCCCTAATTTCGAACCCAATAAACATTTCTTGAAACTAAAATAATTATATAAATGTTTATAAGCAGTCAAAATGGGAAAAGTGGTGAATTATAATTTGATTGATGAAAGTGAAACCACTGAAAAAGATGACAATTTGTGATAAAAGTGATAAAGTTTACATGTATTTATTTCTTTTT